CTGGGGCAGGAGGTGCAGCTGTGGGAGCATCTGACCGAGGAGGTACTTCTGGATTGGTCACTTGATGAGAGAACGCTCGAGGTGCCAGTGGAGGGGTTGACCGAGGAGAGCTCATCTCGAGCAGCATGGTTGGAGAGGCCACCTGGGAGGCATCCTCTGTCTTAGTCATCTTAGAAGAAGGAGGACTCCTACTAAAAAAGTGGGACCCAATTATCTCCCTATCTACTGCTCCAAAGAAAATAAAATGTCACCAAGATAAAAATAAAAATACCAAGTAGAGGAGAAAAATACAAAAGAATCAACATGCAACATACCTTTCCTTTTTAAGGAGGGACCTTGGAGAGGGACCACTAGCACCTACGGAAAGAGGAACCAATAACTCCTCCACCCCTGGCATTGAGAGCTTCAAAGTCCCTTGTGGAGTGAGACTTCACAGCCTGTAGCTTCCACTCTTGGTATTTGGAGAGCATAGGAGCACCTGCAAGGAGTATCATGAGTACATAGCCAACAAAGAATGTGGTAAGAGAGGAGTAAGAATGTAGGGCGTACCAACTTTCTTTGGAGCATCCCATCGTATTGGTACTAATGCCTTATTGGCATCCGAAGCCTACTTTCCACCAATGAATATGAAATGAGACTTCCAACTAAGACATTTGGAGGGCAGACCGGTAATCAACTTTTCTCCCTTTGTGGTAAAATAATACCAGCCTCGGTTAAGAGCAGGAGTCTCACTCGGGTAATAAGCTGCATGAAATTCCTCAGGAGAGGCATCCTCATGGTGCACCTTTTTCTATAATGCTAAGAAACTCAACAACATTCTCCAACCGTTGGGCTCCAACCGCCCAAGTGTCAGGGAAAAATAGTTCAGGATGCCACAAATGGGAGAAAACATTGGGAGCCTGAGCCCAGCCTCAAACACCTCCTCATAAATAACAATGTCACTAGAAGAGTCATCGCAAACAGGCTGCTCACCTATCTCAGCTCGATGTCATAGTACAGTTGGAGGAATATGATAGGTGGAGACAATCCGTAAAATATCAGCGTTTGAATATAAAGTGCTGAAGATAGTACTTACTTTGAACTCATCATTATTGACAGCTACCTTGCCTCGATGCTTTTTGACACAAAGGCGAAAAACTCTATTCGAGCCAGAAAGGTCTCTAGAAGAATGATTTTGAGAAGCTACGCTTGGAAAAATCTGAACAGGCTACTTGCCCAAGCTGCCCATCGCAGCAGGCTGCTGGCCCAGTTTGCCCGGCACAACAGGCTGCTCGCCTAGGATGTGCTCGCCCAGGACATGCTGACCCAGCCGCTGCTCGCCTAGTCGTTGTTCAACCAGAAGGATATCTATGGAGTTTTGAACATCTCCCACCTCAATTGACATTGCCATCTTGGATGTTGCACTCAAAAAATACTAACTGAATGTTCTTGAAAAGATTTAAGAAGAACACTTCCCTTCACCCTCTCAAGTTGCTAGTTTCTATGGAATTGGTAGAACTTGGGCTCTCAAGACTCTCAAGAATGAAGGAAATGAGAGGAATGAAGAAGAAATCTACTATTTATAACCTAGGGTTTTAAAATTTTCTTGGAATAGCAAAAAACCCAAAAGTCCCAAATTGCATCCTAGGGTTTCTCAAGAATCCAAAAAAAGGAAGGGAAGGAAAGAGTTTAAATAGTCAATGGTGTCCTACACCAAAAAGAGTCTACTGGAGGTGATGGGGTTGACAATTAAGAGAATTTTTTGAAAAATTTGGATTTTAAGAGGTGTGTACGTTATTTTGACCCGTAACTCCAAACGGGGTCCATAATATGTCAAATTGAAGCTCTCAAAGACCTCTACAAGAATAACAACCTTTGGCTGTGAATGATGCTGAAAAAATCCCAAAAAAGGCCTAGAAGTATGAGTTTTGACCTCCCAAAGTTTTTCCAATTTTACCGTTCAGTTAAAAATTCAAACACAACTAAATACCCTCTTTTTCAAGTTCTTTAAATGAAGGGCATTGGGGGGCAAATGATGGGTCAGGCCCAAGGGGCCAACCCATATTATAAGCCCAGTCTAAACTAATGATCCAATCCTTAGAGATCTGACAAGTCCAGCCTAAATGAGGCCCAGGCCCAATCAAGCCCATCAGGGAGCTACACCACCAAGTGAACATCAAGAGCGTCACCCTCGTAGCTTGAAGAGAGTCAACCTCCCTCATCCATGACCAAGTCCTTTGGAGAGCACCATAACCTCCTTGCCAATTGAGGAGAAGAGAGGTCGAGGAGAGGAGAAGTCGCCAAGAGATTTAATTACTATTAAACGGCTCCAATTATAACCGTCAGATTAGCTATTCAATTACTACGCAGATGACTATAAATTGTAAGCTCTCCCAACACTTGGGGGGGTATCTCATAAAAATCAAGCTCATCTCCTCTCCCTCTTGTAATTTTTGCTCTCCCAACGCACTGGAGTCAATAAAATTTCTGACGAACCTAGCCATTGAAAGTGGACGTAGGTCTCATTGGTCGAATCACTTTTAACCTTGTTTCTTCTCTCCCTCTACTTATTTTACTGCATTTTATATTGTTTAATTGACAGGTGTTGTGCAAATTGATTTTGTGCATCGTTAAATACGAACACAAATTGTTTAATAACCAAATTATACAATACTACTTGTTTCACATATTTAATTATACGAATCGAATATAGCTAGATTAATATGGTAACCTTTTTAAAACCCCACCTGTTAGGCCCGTTGATTGTAGTATCAAAACTAGTGATTCAAAAGTAATTGGTGTGTCCCATGAAAGTGTTGAAATCATATGTACATTGTTGATTTTGTACTCTTGATTTTGGCTAATGAAGAAACAAAGCTTTAGGTTGTTTATCAATTAAAAAAAAATAAAAAAAACAGAAGAGAAGAAGCCCTTGAGTTAGATTTTTGAGTATATACATAGGTGAGGGTCGAAATATACAGTTATACACATAAGAAGAGAAGGAGGTTGATATTGAAGTAGTGGAGATAGAGAGCCAACTTGATTCACCCCAAAGAGAGAGAGAGACAGACAACTCCAACTGTTCGTCTTTTTCCGTTGAGCTGATTCACGCTCAAAGAGAGAGAGAGAGAGTGGGGAAGTAGAAGAGGCTATAGTTTAGTTGGCTTCAGGCTTCAGTCATGGATGGAGGCTGGAGTGTTGTGATTTAACACGCTTTAAACTCACAGACAAACACACACATTTGAAGAACAAACCAAAAACATAAAACAATAAGAAACAAGAAAGAACAAGACAGATTTTATGTGGTTCGATAATTTGTCTACATCCACGAAACTGCAAGGATTTCACTATTGAGAGAGCGGAATACAGAGAGCGGCTTTCAGTTACAATCCAAACCCTAAATACCAAAGTAGCGATTTTTATATGTCTTGCGTACTGGATTACAAAACAGGCCCAAGCCTTCGCTTCATGGACTAAGGCTCAGAAAATTTTTCGTTAAAAATCACGCAACATTATTTCGGGTTGGGTAATCATCCGTATCAACACACAAACTAAACTCCACAAAGTCCCAACATGGAGGTGCAACGTCGCAATTCGCAACGAAGAATAAGAGACAGAGTTAGGGTTTGAAATTAGAAAAAGTTGTTTTTAATCGAAGTTATATATTTTATGTGGTTGTCCCTACAAAAAATTATTATTTTGGCTATTTTTTTAAAATAATTTTTAAATTAATTATATTAATTTTATTTTAATGGGTAAAAGAATGGTAAACGGATTAACTGGTCTCATCTAAACACAACTTGTTTTTTAAATGTGTCTTATGAGTCAATCTGTTTACCATCCAAACTCATTAAAATCTCACTCGAATTTGCTTAAAATCATATCAATTCGTGGTGGTTAATCATATCGTGATGTATTTTGATAGACAAACTAATCAACCACGGGCTTTCATTGACCCATAATCTATGGGTTGGCCTTGCCGTTGAAAATTTGAGGTTTGAATCATTAATCTCCTTTAAACAGTCATCAATTTTCACTATAAATTCTGATATTAATGTAATTCATGGTAGAAGTGTGATGGAGATCTACTATTCATTGATTAATTCGGGAAAAAAAAAAGGTTCTAAGCTATGTGAGTAAGAACTCCCTCCTGCTTAACTAATGAGTAATGACCATGTTCCTTATTCATCTTTAACAAACAATCTCCCTACTAAAGAGGGAAGAAAGGGGGTTCTGCAATCACCCGCGATGCTTGTTCTTTTTTTTTTTTTTTGGGGTTTCAACGATTAGAAATGTTTAGATCAATTTATGCACACTTCAATTAATATTCTCTATGGTTCAGTCATCAGGACTAGAGTATTCATAAAGTATAAATCCCTTTTGTCTTAGCCCCAAAAAATTACTAAGATGAAAACTTAGAACATTTAGTTTACACTTCATCCCTATTACCACTTGATATATCCTTACACTTCCCACCAATGCTTGTAACATGCATGATGCATCCCTAATTTTTGGGGGCCAACACCCACATTTCTTTCATTACTACAATGAATTTATCTATTCAAGCAAATATATATCGTGAGTTTGAGTTTAAAAACCATTATTTATATCAAAGGGTTGCACCGAATGATTACGATAAATAATGCTTTGGCATAAAATAGACATATAATAAGATCCTATTAAAGCATTGTGCGTTTATCATGTGTCATGAATTCAAATAAAATCCATTATATGTAAGTGACTCTCTTCACCAATATGTTCAGGGGATCTATTAGAGAGAAATGTATAGAATGGGATTTGAACCTGTCTAATAACACATTTGCAACCAAAATCATAGCACCATTGGTTACCAGAGTCAACAGTAACAGTCACTTCAGATTTTTCCCATATCAAAACAACCACAAACTCCGACAGAAAAATAGTGCACAACTAATTGTCACATTTGCCTCTAATCAAAATTTCTTCATGATACGATTGAATTGGATCGACACCCCAAGCAAGGTGAGTAGAAGGGAAATTATTCATTTCATGGCAACTTCTTGTAGCTCCTCGCACGTCGTAAGTTTTTCTCTTTGCTTGTTTCTCAATCTTCCAAGCCTCTTCTCTTCAGTATCGATCTTTTCCCAATCACTAAAGGGAACAACTCTCACATTCCTACTATCTAATAATTGGAGGAGTCCCTCTCTGCCTGGCTTTGACGATGTAGAGGTGGATGTTAACACGCCTTTCTCAAGGTCTTCAGAGATGCTTGCAACCTGCCATGTCTCACAGACAATTAGCCGAGCAAGCAATCGCTACACCTAAATGTAGTAACTGCCCATAAATTATATTATCCGTAATACAAGTACGCTTCTTCCATCACTAATGAAGGACATCCTCATCAAACAGATATTATGTGGAACTGCAAACAACCACTTACAGTTTCTTTAGCATAGTAGAGGTTCGTAGCAATAATCCCAGTTGGTCCTCTCTTCAACCAGCCGCACACTTACAAACCCTCAAATTGTGTAAGATTTCCCGAAGAATATTTCAGAACACGGCCTTTAACATTTGGAACTATGCCTGGAAAATCAGCCATCAATGGATAATAAAACGTTTAGCTATCTTGCGACGCTATCATGATTTTTTGAATCACATTATTATTATTTTTTAAAATCCTAAAATGCATTAAATTGGACACACTGATTTGAACAGGAAAAGCATGGGCCACAATAAGCCTTGGAATTACTTAGTGAAATCTGGTTACTGTACTGCTTTAAGTCTATAAGACATTTGTCCCTGGATATTATATATATGCTTTTGCGTTAGGTTTTTAATCAAGTGCACTACAAGAAGAGTTTATAAGAGCAATAAAACAGTAATGAGTGTTAATGGTGCTCGGAATTTCTCGACCCAAGGCCAACCTATGGATTATGGTTGTTTGGTTCTTGCGTTGCGATGGATTTGGGAAATTAAAAGAAAAAGAACACAGAAAATAAGTGGTTCACCTTAGCCGAGGGACTAAGGCTACATCCACTGTAATGGAGGTTCTTGCTCTTGAATGCAGTGTATTGAAGTTCTATGCGACTCAGTGAAATTACAAGTACCGAGCCGTTCCAGGCGAGGGTTCCTTTTTCCTCTCTAGGGATTTCTCTCTCTAGGGTTTTTTTCTCTAGTAAGGCACTGTTCCTTATATAGTGGTTATTCCTCCGGAGATTCCTTATGACTTTTCTCGCCTTCCTGTCGACCCTGTGGGGACCTCCTGCTGCTACCCTGCAAAAGCCTTCCATCTGCCGTCGCTACTGTGCCCACGATCTCTGGGCCCTGAATTCCATCATCCTCTTTGTTTGGGAGGATGCTGCAGTAGCTAATTTCAAAGATGGTCCCTTGTCCCTTGCACACGTGGAATGACAAGGTTGTTAAAATGAGAGCAGTCTGTCTTCTTCCTGGGTCTTAGCTGGGCCGGTGTTCGATTGGAACTATGTTAGATGACCCCTTGTAACGTGCTTTCCTTCCTTCAACTAGGCCAACCTATAAGAGAGCCCCGAGCTAGGGGGCTTTTAGTCCCTAGTTCGTCGATGGCCCAAGCCCAAAATCTCGCACCCATTAGTTGCCCCCCCAGCCCCTGGTCACGAGGATGACATTACCTCGGACCTGGGGTTGAAAAAAATGTCTTCTGCTGTTGTGAGAGACGTGCTTGGATAACCGGCCTGGTCATGATTTAGGTTGCGCTGTGCTCCACCGTCCGTGATTATTTGAGATACGTGTCGCTTGCGGTTGCTCCAGCAGGCGCACGTTCCTTGGTGTGTCCTATCACTTGTCAGTCTATAGTCTTTAATGCTTCATGCTCAATAAAAAGGGGTAAGACTTCTCTTTTCCCCATTTTGAACTTCTCTCTTTCCAAAAAACCCTCTATTTGCCCTTCTTCTGTTTCCTTTGGTATTCGCGGCGCAGTATCCTTGGCTTTCTGGCAATTTTAGGGCTCCTACAGTCTCAACCTTCCTTGCTCCTATCGTATTTGCTAGGTACGTTTCTCTTCCCTCCTTCTTCTTCCTAGGTCGTCCTGGATCCCTACAACCCTCCTTGGTGGGGCTTCGGGTTTCGATTCCTAATCTAGAGGTTTAGCTATTTTAGGAGTCATTCTGACGATCTCTCTTTCCTTCCCTGGTTCGTGGGCCCTTCTTACACTGCTAGGTTATCCTACCTTAGGATTTGGTGTTTGAGGCCTTCAATTTTAACGTATTGTACCTCGCATCTATCCCCTCTTCATTCTAACTTATCACTGGATTTTGTAATGGGGAAATTCGTCATCACGTCTTCCGATTCTGGTACTGTGGGTCGAGGTAGTGAGGAAATCAGCACCTCGGGGTCCTCTGGTGATCCTTTTGTTTTCGTTGGCGAGGCGAAATTAGGGTCTACCCTTGAGATTTCCCCTTCACCTTCCCGAGTTGAGGCTCGCCCTTTGTCGTCTATTGCCCCCGTTGTTCCGATTCGTTTGAGTAAGAGGGGGTCTAGACCAGTTCCGTCTTCTTCTTTTGGGAGGAGAGTTGGCCGGGATCTGTTTGACCTTTCTTGTTGTGCGGATCGGATCTCTAGCCGTCTCGGGGACAATGATTTAGAGGAGTTGAGACGAATATATCGATTTTTCGATATCGTGGAGCTGTACTCGCCTAGGAAAAAGGAGAGGTGTAACTCTTCTCTTACCGTGCTGACCTGCTTCTTTGAGTCGGCGTTCCGGGCTGGCCTTCGGTTCCCTGTCCACCCCTTCATCCGTAACGTCTTGGGTTTCTATAATGTTTGTCCCACCAGACTTTCTCCTAACGGCTGGGGCCTCCTTATTAGTTTTCTCATCCATTGGCTCAAGAGTGGGAATGACTCTTACCCTTCCATCTGGGAATTTGCTTCCCTCTTTCAGCTGAAATCTTCTCCTTCTGTGGGTTTTCTATACTTTGCTAAGAGGGCGAAGACGAAGCTTCTGATTTTCGGTCTTCCTTCCTCCAACAAGGGGTGGAAACCGAAGTTTTTCTTTGTCAGGGGAGATTCCTGGGAGTTGTCGGGGAATCTAGGCGATGTTCCTCGTATTCTCCGAGTCTGGGGGGTTCTAAGGAATACGCTTAAGGCTTGTTTTTCTGGCATATTTTCCATGTTGGCCCTTTCTTTGCTATTTGAACTGACCCCTTGGTATGATTTACAGAGTTCCATCTAGAGTTCAACGAGGAGGAGACCATTCGAGTTGCTAGGGCAGAAACATTGGGGTTGCAGTCTTTTTTTGATTTGGTAATTGCCCAAAATCTTGCAGCTTTCGAGCTCGGTCTCGTCGTTGATCAAGCTCCTGAGGCCCCATCCTCACCTGCCTTCCAACCCGACCCAATGGATCAGGACCTGATCATGTCAATGTTCTCCGACACCGAGGAGTCGAGGAAGAGGAAGAGGAAGAGGAAGAGGTTATCCACAGGGTCAAAGGCGCCTTCCAAGGAGGCAACTGTTCTAGTCCACCAGCGGATTCCTCAGAGGGGGTGAGAGAGGAACCCCTTCCTCTTGGAGATGCTGTTTTGGGTTTGTCTCCCCCTGGACTTTCCAAGACAAAAAAGCTCCCCGCTGGCCAGCTCGGGTCTTCGGTCGTTGATCCACCCCCTAACAAGCTGGCTCCTCAGAAGGGTAAAAAGAGTGAGCCTATTATCCCGACGTCACAGGTGCAAGGTAGTGGGTTTCTACGTGATCCTAAAGTGGTGGTTGCTCTATCTGAATTGGTGGCTACGACGGATCCCAATGCGGCCATGCAGGTTCCCTTTGAAAGGAAGCTTCATCATGCCATCCAGGGCCTGATCGAGGTATTCTTTATTATTGTTCATTCTTTTAGCCTTTGTCTTCCTTTTGTTTCCCTGCCCTTCCTATGTGCTGACCTCTCTCTCTTTTTTCTCCATAGTCGCTTGCTTACGCAAAGATGATGGCTTTCCACCATGGGTAGGACCTCCAAGAGGCTAAGCATAACTTGGATGCCATGACAGTCAGTAAGGACAATGCTAAGGGGAAGGTGAAGGTGCTAACGAGCGAGGCCTTTGAGATGAAGAGAATCACTGACGAGCTCGATACCCGTGTTAAGGATCTTGGGAAGTTATCTAAAGACAAGGACGCCAAGCTTAGGGTGAAAGATGCTCGAGCTTAAGGCCAAGGATGCAGAGCTGACGTCTCTGAAGGCTAGTGTATCTAACCTACTGAAGGAGAGTGCTTCAGCTTTTGTTAAGGGATTTCTGTACTGCTACCACCAGGTCGAGGACGTCTACCCAGATTTTGACCTAGACTCGATCCAACCTCATTTTAATTACAAGAGGAAGTCAGTGGAGCCTGAAGGCGCTAAGGTTATTGGGGCTGAGAAAGGGTCTGCTCACGAGGAGGCTGAGCCGATCAGGGCCGGTGGCTCATCGGAGGTTTCTAAGGGTGGCGATGGTAAAGAGCCCACTCACTGATGTTTGGCCGCGATAGTCTTCTCCCCCCCTTTTTTTTATTTTTCGTCTATTGTAGTTTCCTTTAACGATGTAAGCTTTTGTATGGTGGGTCTGTGCTCCATTTTTTCGAAGGCTTGTTACTTGTTCAACTTCTCTTTTCTCTTAAAATGAAGAGCCTTTGCATATCACTGCTTTTGCCCTGACAAAATGAGTTGAGCCCCCCTCCCCCCTTTTTTTGCAATGATGGAATGAGAACTTTTCCTGACCACGATTCTCCAAGGATATTTGAATATTTTCACCTTCCTTTTGTGTGCTCCAAACGTGACAGTTTCGTCTGATTTAGGACGTGCGCCGTCAGATATGGGAAGTGGCCCTTCGATCAAGGTGTCTTGTAGGTTCCCTTCGCGCCACGTGTTCCCCTCATTAAATGCAAAGGACATGCATTTATTGTCCGTGGCAAAAACGACGGTCGTGGGCTTTGCTGGGGCTATAAGTATGCTTTTCAGGGAATGATTGTTCCATTCTGCCCGCTAGCTAGATGTTCTTCGTTCTCCCTTTCCAGTGCGATCTTCCTTGCTTACACCCGCTAGAACTCCTGTTTTCATGGCTAGAGCTCCTTCATCGCCACGGGATGCTATGCGCCACCTTTTTCCTGATGTTGCTACTAGTGACATTGGGGACGAAGAGGTGTATAACCTTGCTGTTCGTTTCGCTTTCCCTCCTGGCGTCGTTGTTCGTCCTGTTGCTTCGCACCGATTCCACTTCTTGGTTAGGGGCGAGGTTTGTTTCTTTGAAGCTCTTTTTCTGTTGGGCCTATGATTTCCCCTTCCTCCTTTTGCCAGGGAGGTTTTGTGCTTCTTTAGTTTTTGTCCGGTCGCACTTCTTCCGGCAGCTTGGGCAGTTTTGTTGGCTTTCTTCGTAGATTGGGGAAGGTAGTTTCCCTAATCTAGGGTTACTATGTCGGAGTTTCTTCAGTTCTACCATCCTGAGGAAGTTTCAAAGTTTTATTGCTTCATTCCTAGGCAAGCATGGGAGTTCCGTATCCTCGACCTCCCTTCAGAGCCTGAGGGCTGGCAAAAGAGGTATTTCTTTGTCTTAGGGGATGGCTGGGAATACGGAGCTATTTTCCCGGCGTCTTTGAGGGTTCCTACGG